CAAAAGCACACAAAAAAATAAACATCTCCCAGGAAAATTCCAACACATGTCAATGAGAACACCGCTGTGAGGAACTGATCAAGCAAGGTTAGAAAACCTTCCTGAGTTATTTGTGCAGTGCAACGACTGTAAGTGCACAGTGGCAAGTTCACAAACTTAATTCTAAGATCTCAAATAAATTCCTTTATAAGTAGAGAAAGATTAAAAAGTATTCTTACCATGTGGTATTTGGTTAATAAATTGACTTTCATCTGTATTTGTAGCATTTATTATTTCACAACACAAATTCCTTCCAAGCCAAGAGAAAAAAATGAACACAAGAAAATCACTGCTGCTAAATGTGAGATGATTATCTTTACAGGATAAGAAACATAATTGGTGAAAACTAGGCAGAACCCACCACTGCTCCAGCTCACTTTATGAAGATTAGCTCTTGCGAAGTATTACTTCCCTCCTCCTCCAAGCTCCTATTTGTGCAAGTTTGCAATCAAGTGGAAAATGGACTCAGAATGGAACATGCATCCCTGGGATACAGGCAGAGAGACACAGAGTACAATACAAAGTAATTGTCCGTTAAATGTATAATAATCAAAAGAATATAAGGTTAAGTACCGTCAGACAAATGTCCAATACTACTCTATTTACAACCCTGTGGTATTGGAGAAGTATTCGTCTGTTCAAGGATTTTCAACAAAAAGAAGTGTGATTTGCAGATTAGGAGGGCCTTGTTGCCTGAATGTCATAAATTTGTTGATCAAAAGGGTGATGTCTATTAATGCTTCATGTTTAAGATAGTACATAATTTGTTCTGGTGGTTAAGCTTTTGGTGGTTTTAAGTGGACCTCAGAGTGGTCCTGAGGGCCTTCCTAGTGGTACCTTCTTCCCAGATAGAGAAGTTTACCTGGATAAACTTCTTGTTGATTTCTTTTCTTTTTTTTTTTTTGAGACGGAGCCTCAAGCTGTCCCCCGGGGTAGAGTGCCATGCCATCACAGCTCACAGCAACCTCCAACTCCTGGGCTAAAGCGAGTCTCCTGCTTCAGCCTCCCAAGTAGCTTGGACTGTAGGTGCCCACCACAACACCTGGCTATTTTTTGGTTGCAGCCGTCATTATTTGGTAGTCCCGGGCTGGATTCGAACCTGCCACCTTAGGTGTATGTGATTGGCACCTTAGCCACTTGAGCCACAGGCACCGAGCCTGGATGTTGATTTCTGCTGGCCATTTGTCCTCATCCATGGATGAGTTTACTCATGGTCGTGGAACATGTACCAGGCATGTTCTTGCAGTACCTTCACTGGAAGGCTATTGTTTTCTGCAGAAAGGTCATCTGAGTATATAATTTAGACATGTCTCTCCCCAGTAAGAGAAGAAGGAAATCAGGCATCTAAAGGAACCAATGAGTCATCTTTTTCCCAATCCAGCATGTAAGAGGTTTAAGAAAGAATTTGTATTCCAGCTGTCCTGTTACTCCTGCTTGAGAACCAGTTGTTCCGTAATAGGAGACAGTGGAGTATTAAGCACTAAATGTGTTGCCACAGCATTTATAAGAAAGTCTTGGTCCATGGCTTTCTGTACAGAGAGGGTGTCAACTACCCATTGAACTGGACAATTCTATAGACATTGGGCCAAATTGTCGCTGTCCAGAAAGGCATCGTTGTCATAGACTAAGTATTGCCTATGGACAAAGCTATGTGCATCTCAAGTGGCCAGAATTCTCTGGGCTCTGCATTTTCCCACCTAGAATTACAAGGTGAGATTCCAGGGCAGGTTCATCCCTTAGCAAGCATGTCCTCACCTTGTACCATCAATTCCTAGGTTCCATGCTTACATGTGTTTGGGTACCTCATCTTAGCCTTTGTCTCACCAAGTCCTCTTGCTTGGATGACCTCCCTGTCTGCCCTGATTACTACCAATGACCACAGTGAAAGAGCTTTCCATTAATTCAGCCTGAGAGAAGTCTGGAATCTCTTCCTGGATCTTTTTCAAGGAGTCTGCAAAGAGGTTTAACACAGACCATTTGCCTCCACTTGAGAAATGGCTAACTAGAGCTTTCTTAATGCCAAGAGCAGAGCAAGGCCATAGGTATATCAAAGATCCCACACTGATGCAGCAGGTGAAAACTCAAGTGTAATCACCTCCTTTGACTGAGAAAGTCATAACTCAAAATGGCCAATGCAAGAAAGGCATGGAGTGTCCATTTGTCCCACAACCAGAAATAGTCCAGTGTGACCAGAGTTCACATTTGTGAAAGAAAAACATATGTGGTTGATCAAGTGTGGCAGGACTTATGCATACATGTTCTGTCATCTTTTCTCAGCAACAGAAGCCAAGAGGTGTGAGGAGTGAATTAAAGACCCAAAGGAAGGAGTCAAAATGTCAGGCAGCTGAGCAAAAGAGGCCGGTGTTTTGTTTCCTTTTTGTTTGTTTGTTTGAGAGGGGTCTCACTAAATCAGCCTCAGTACTGTCGTGGCATCACAGCTCACAGCAACCTCAAACACTTGGGTTAAGCGATTCTCTTGCCTTAGCCTCCCAAGTAGCTGGGACTACATGCTCCTGCCACAATGCCCGGCTATTTCTTGTTGCAGTTGTTACTGTTTTAGTTGCCCTGGGCTAAGTTCAAACCTGCCACCCTGAGTGAATGTGGCCAGCGCCCTAACCACTGTACTACAGGCACCGAGCTGAGGCTGGTGTTCTAAAAGACAAAGGTGGCTCCTTTTTCTCTTTACTTCAGTGTCAAGAGAATAACTGGTGACCTTGAGTAGTGATAAGTTTAATAATCTTGATCTCAATCCCCATACCTAAGCAGATGCAGCTTCAGGCAGGCAGAAGAAAATATAGAGCTAGTTTTTTTTTTGACTCTATAATGGCAGATTGACATGAAATATGACAACAAATATACAAGTAATCTGTAGGAGCTTTAAACAAAGTCCGGGGTGGCTTTTGCTTTACATACATTTTCCAATTCTATGTTAAGTGGTATGGGGGTAAATATTCATGATTTTTCTTTGAAGGAGGGAAAACTTCCACAAAGGAGAGTCTTCCCATTTTCTATCCCTGTAAGGCAATTTCCAGAAGTTATCATTGTATTTGTGAAGGGTGATAGAACTGGTGCAAATTGTACTATGTTAATGAAAATAGGTCACTTGAGCATACGGTCACATTACTTGAACCCATGATCTAAACATCCCTTTTTGTAGCCTTGGCCGTATCTCCACATTGTGGTCTCTCTACCTCTGACAGTCATTTTTTTTTTGAGAGAGCCTCAAGTTGTCCCCCTGTGTAGAGTGCTGTGGCACCACAATGCACAGCAACCTCCAACTCCTGGGTTCAAGTAGTCTCCTGCCCCTGCCTCCCAAGTAGCTGGGACTACAAGTGCCCACCACAATGCCTGG